TCTTACAGGTATACTGTAAAACATATACTGCAAAAATTATACAAGAATTATAAAGTCAAAAGAGAGCAGCGGAATTATTTAACATTACAAGTCTCTTTCTTTCTTTCTTTTTTTTTTTTTTTTTTTTTTTTTTTTTTTTTTTTTTTTTTTTCTTTTTTTTTTTTTTTTTTTTTTTTTAAAAAAAAAATTTATACAGCAGACTACTGTGAGATTACTGTTTTTTTTTTTTTTTTATTCAGTTCTAGGATATTGCCCCTGGCTAAATTTATGCTGTTCCATCTTTGCTAAGAGACTTTTCAGAAATTTGATATTTCTTTGCCATATCACACCAACTCCACTGAGAACAAATACAGATTTCCTTAAACATATAAAATGAGTAATATTTCAGCTGTTACCATACATTTCCTAGGTTCCGCATGGGAATATTGTTTTTTGGGGCCCAGAGGCAACAGGTATTTTGGCTGTTTGGAAGGTAATTTGTATACTTGTTCTCTCTGAAGGATACTCAGTTTACTTTGATATTAATATTTTGTATTATATGACCTATTAAATTGATTTTTTAAGGCCTCAGGCAAAAAGAAAGCAAAGATTTTTTTTCTCTAGATGTCTCCTTTCTCAACTTGGTTGCATTTTGCAAAAATGAGCCGTTAGTTCTAATATTTAACTCTAATATTAGAGTTTTACTGTGGTGGAGCCTACATGGCAAGTTTGAGCATTTCATCCTAGTGTATGGAGTAGTGTTGAAACACTGAATACTTCAATGTATGTTTGCTTCAAAAGAAATAAGCTCATTCTATGACTTGGAAGGGAATCTGCCAAAATTCAATCAGAAAGCAACAATAATCTACAGTTATCTGGGTAGGTATAAGCACTAAAGTATCTATCTTTTAATTCAACATCTTTAATGACTTCAATCTCTTGTTATCTTGCCTGATTTTTAACTCACTAAAAAGTAAATAAATAAACTAATTTTTCCATACCGTTGTAGAGGTGAAAAGAGAAGAGTACTTTCTAAGGCTAGAACATGCACTGCTATACTTTAATCCAGATCAAAGCCTGGGGATAAAATTTGGCCCTGTGTTTTCCAAATATCCATGATTTTGCACAAATTTTACACTAATGGCCCTTATATTTATCTTGGAAAGAATTGTGCTGCTTCTGTTTCTATTCTTGTACCCATGAGGTAACCCATAGTAAGAGAGCATATTCATTTTTCTGTTTTCAAAGTATCAAGTTAGAGCAGACTTGCAAGTTTACAACAAACTCAGACTTTTATAAACTCAGACAGATTTATAAATAATAATCTGCAAAATGATATCATACAGAAAACTTTTTGATGGCAATACTGACAAAGACAAAAGATAATTTGAGTATCTTATCAAGTAAAATTCTGATGGAAATACATACCCAAACCTTCGGATTCAAACAGACATGTTTCATCCACCCCTAAATCTCGGCACCAGGATAAGAAATTTGCTGTATTGTCTCGGGCAAAAAAGGAGCCCGAGGGTGCACTGGCTTTGCATGGGATCTTCTTCAATGGCAGATTCTGAAAAATAAAGAAATTCATTCTAGGGGAAATCTGTCAAAGTTTAGTAAAATGATATTTTAAAAACACGTTTTCAACAAAATGCTTTGGAATGAACTCATGCCAATAAGTAGGTTTGTGAAGAACCATAGAAAGGAAATATAATGCTGTGCAAACCTGGCAGTAAGAGACTGAAAATCTGTTCCTGCAAGCACATCTCCTTTGCTTTTTAGTACCTAGGAGTGAAGATAGTTAAGTACCTTTCTTTACTCAGGCTGCTACTTCTCTTTCCCTTCTATAATTTTTCTGTCCTTCTCTTTCATCTAAGCATTCTATCAATATTTTTCACAAAGTACTTATAAATGTATTTCTTATTTGTGAAAAAGGAATGGGAGAAACAGAAATAGATGAATATTTTGTACATATAACATATATACACTTGCATTCTTACAGGTATACTGTAAAACATATACTGCAAAAATTATACAAGAATTATAAAGTCAAAAGAGAGCAGCGGAATTATTTAACATTACAAGTCTC